TAGTCGTCTTTGTCGTAGTCGTCTTTGTCGTCGTCGTCTTTGTCGTCGTCGTCGTCGTCTTCGTCGTCGTCGTCTTCGTCGTCGTCGTCGTCGTCGTCGTCGTCGTTTAAAAGGTTACTGACTTTTATTTAACAAAAATCACGTAAACCAAAATTTCTTATGGGATCACAAAATGGTGTAAACCCTTTCAATAGTTGCACAAACCTTTGGAAATCAAAGTCAATAGAGGAGAAACAGGACTGCAAAATGGCCCAAAGACCCCAGAAGAAGTTGGACGCCTGGCGGAAGAGAAGAAGAAATTACAACCGGTGGTTATTTCCTGGCAGGACCTTCAGACATCCAGAGTAAGAAAAAAAAAACAATCTGAAACTGGAATTCTGGATTTGATAGAAACAATTTTATTACAACATTTTACTATACAGGGTAATGGTCTTCAGGTGGCTGAACATGGTCTAGAACTAAAGATTGACAGTAACATTTCAATGAAACATATTTTTTTAACTGCCCATTTTGTTGCACATGTGGTAAATATTTTCAAACTGAGCAACTTTATTAGCCTGTACCATAATACCATACCATCATTTTCAAAGACTTCTAAACTTACAAACCTAAGAAAACAATACCATAAGCCAAAAAAAGCATTGCTCTCACAATAATAATAATAATAATAATAATAACAATAATAATAATAATAATTATTATTATTATTATTATTATTATTATTATTATTACATTTACATTTGAGAGGGAATGTAGAGCTTTTGTCAATCCAAATGAACTTTTAGGTGTTCATTTGTCTTAAATAAACTTTTAAAACATTTTACATATGCATCATGAAAATGTGATGATTTCACATTTTTATGACTTAAGGTCAATAAATACCAACAGAATAGTGTGTGTACATATTCTTTGTTTGGCAGCTCCCTTCTTCAGGAGTCGCCACAGTGATCGATCTATCTATCTATCTATCTATCTATCTATCTATCTATCTATCTATCCATCTATCCATCTATCCATCTATCCATCTATCCATCTATCCATCCATCCATCCATCCATCCATCCATCCATTTAAATATTTGTACGTAAATGATGCGTTTTTGGTTGTTTGGTATTTAATTGTTAAATAAGGTATTGGTGTGCTCTGCGTGCTTCATGTTGTTTAAAAATAAGACGTTCAGGGATCAAAAGCACCATCTCTCCACTCACCAGGCCCCATTCCTGCCTCATAAGAAGGCCACGGTGGGGTCAGATGTTTAGCGTCTTACTTCAAACCATTTTAGTAAGCTAACTGCGCGCAGACAGTCCGATGTAAAAATGGCTGAGTTGACGGTCTTAAAGGGGAAACAATAATCCCAGGGAATTTTCCAAGTAAAAATGTAGTTTATGCTTGTAGTGCTGTCTTTTTATGTTGTTGCTACAGACGGGGGAAGACTTTGGTGACCTCCATTTGGTTCCTAAACTGCTGCTGCCTGCCAGCAGCACAGCGCTCCGTCAGAATGACAAACCTCAGTATTGAATGGTTCCCTCCTTAATGGCTTTGCTCACTTAGGCTTGCGGACTTCCTTGCCTCCATAAATTTCTGTTGTTCTCCACCCGTATTGTAAATCTTCATGGTAAGGCCACTAATAGCAAGTTCTAATCAGATCCAGATGGGCCTCTGTTCTGCGGCCCAGTGATATAATCACATTTTTATTTGATAATCAAATAAAGGGTGGAATGAAATACTTGAGGAGTATTGTGTGGTTTTTCTAAGGCTTTTTTTTTCTCTTCCAAACTGGCAGATTTTCATCACTAATCTCCGTCTTTACTTGGGGGAGAAAAGATTGAGTGTGTTCCCGTTATGATTAATAACTGGTCTCCATTAAGAGAGCGTTAATCTAACACTGAGCAGAAACTGTGAGTGACGGGGAGTCATTGAGAAAAGGGCCTAAGAAATGAATGGGTATGGTGACGTCACAGAGGCTTTAGCTTCAACTCTGGAGATTCCTGCAGAGGAGAGGAAGATATGCAAAGGCTCCACCGTGTTCTGGCACATGGCAGAAGTTAAGATGAAGCAGCAGCTTAGATCTTTTGGCAACTGGCCAAACTTAGTCAAAGCTGCACAGCTTCTTTCAGCGCAGGCTTCATTTCAACAACCTGTAATATTTACAAGTCAGACTTGCCTATAGGAAACCAGCATGGCGTGAATATTTAGGTGATGCACAAAATAGTTGCATAAAGACGTAGAAGCATTAAATTGCAGATTAAGCAGAGAAAAATAAATTTGAATTCCTCAAAACTTGCAACGGACAAAGAACTATTATCTAGTTTTAGATATTTGGGGAAACTACTTTTTTTTTATATATATATACAGTATATGCAAGGTTGATCTAATTCAGGGAGCAACTTTAAAAAGTAGATAAGATATTTTTACAAAATTACCATAACACTGTATATTTCCCTCCCGCCATAAGAACAGTTTCTTCCCCTCTGCTGTTGGACTCCTGAACACTCATAATGCTACCTCATAATTTCTGCTTTGGTCACATTACATCTGTATTATAATTGAATAGTCCATCTGTACTGTTTTCTAAGCTTTTTTATTGTTTTCTATTGGATGGGTGTACATATGGTTATGTTATGTTTTTAATTTTACTTTATTTGTTGGTGTACACAGGTCTTATGTCTTATGTAATGTTCTCATTTTTACTTCATTTTTACTTTATTTTTACTTTATTTTACTTTATTACTATTCGCACCTTATGTCGAAGCAAATTCCTAGTTTGTGAACCTCGTTCATTGACATGGCGATAATAAACTGATTCTGATTCTGATTATATTTACTATCCGAACAAAGATATGTCTGCACAATAAACAGTCAAAAGAGTAAGAAATACTTGTAACAGTCTTAAAATTACTCATCTATGGGTGTCATAAGTTAAATATGCTCTTAATTTGAGATCAAACAAATTCTACCTCATTACATGCAGAAAACTGTGTTTTTTTCCTCCAGCTAATGTAATATTTAAAAAAAACAGGGTTTTATTCTGAAAACAACAAAATGAGTCTTTTACAAAATGTAGTGGTTTTAGTTGAACACCCAGAGTAAACAATGAACTTAAAAACGATGGGCTGAATAATAATGGATGTTTGACATTTTCAGCTTCAATCAGCATGACTGGACTAATTTCTGATAAAATAATGTGTTAACTTGATTAAAATGTTTAAATAAGTTATTATTATCACAAGAAAATTAATATTTCTTTGTTGATATTCATATAAATTAACCTCTTAAGTAAAAAAAAAAAAAAAAAAACACTGTAATGTCAAGATAAAATTATAAAATACATTTTTAGATAAGTCCTCTCTTGGCTACAAAATGCTTCAGTGATAAACCTTAACTAGAAAAATTGTATTTCCTGCAAAAACGCAGTGTGAATGTTTCTTGCAGAAGAACTTGCTAAAAAAAACAGCTGAAATTAGCTAAAAAAAAACATGCTGAAATGTAGCTGAACTGAACAAATAAGCCTATATTAGCCTAAGAAAGCAGAAAGAACACACAGGTATTTGCTGAATTAGGTTTAAATAAGCAGAAATTAGCACAAAAATTAGGAAATCAGCTAAAAAAAGTTAAAATTAGCAACAACAATTAAAAATATATCTAAAAAGTAGCTAAAAAAGCAAAAAGAACCTTAACCTACGAGAAGGAAGTGAAAAGAACTGAATGGAGCTAAAAAAAAAAAAAAAGTGGAATTAGCTGAAAAAGTTAAAATTTACATAAAAATAGCTAAATAGTAGCTGAAATAGCAAAAAAGCTGAAACTAGCTGAACAAAGTTGAAAGGAGCATAACGATCTGAAATAAGCAGAAATAAGTTAATTAGGTTGAAAGTAACAGGAATCACCAAGAAAAACTTGAATTGATCTGAAAATAGCTGAAATTAGCTAAAAAAAATTAAATAAGGTGAAATGATAGAACAACTTTGAATTAGTAGAAGAATGCAGAAAGAACACACATTTGCCCAGTTAGGCTGAAAGAATCAGAAATGAGCACAAAAAGTAGAAATTATCGGAAAAAAGCTGAAATTATATATATATATTAAAAAAAAGAACAGCTGAAAAGTAGCTAAAAAGACTGAAAGAAGTTTAAATTACCTGAAGGAAGTGGAGAGAGCACATAAGTGCTGAATTAGGCTGGAAAAAGTTGAAACAAGTGCAAAAACTGTGGAATTAGCTGAAAAGGCTTAAATTAGCATAAAAACAGCTAGTAGCTGAAATATTAGAAAACGCTGAAACTGGTAAAAAAAAGCTGAAAGGAACATAAGTTGAAATTAGCAGAAATAACATAAAAGCAGCACAAAAATGTTGTCGTTAGAAAGAATCTGAAAAGAACACAAAACAGCTGAAAACAGTTGAAAATAGCTGATTTTGTTTTTATTTGCAGAAAGAAGCTGAAAGAAGCTGAAGCAGAACAAAATGTGAAAGGAGCAGTAAAAGGTTGTAAACATCTAAAGATGAGCTCAGTTCATTTGCTATGAGGAAAAAAAAAGTGGCAGAAAAGGCTAAATGTTTCAAAAAGCTAAAGTTGCACCAAAACCAAAAGTAATAGCAGGATTGTCCTGAATGAGCTGAACGTTTTGATTTATGATTTGTTGAAATGGCACAAAAATTGTGAAACGAGAACTGCTCCGAAAAATGTACAGAAGAAAAATGGATCACAATAGTGTGGATGCTTCGTGAGCGTTCACACTATTGGACACGGTTTTCACTAAATAAAACATGGCTACCCTTTCAGAAGTGTTTGTGTTTTGTGCTTTCTTTTTGACGCAGGGACTGATAAAACGAGGTGAGCTGGAAACTCATCTTATGTGTCGGTGAACTATCTCCCATGTGTCTGTCAGAGAAAATCTGAATTCAATCAACAAGATGTTATCACTTTTACCACTCCATTCCAGGCCACATTTCTTCCCCCAACCATCAATCCCCCCACCACTCCTTTTCTAATTTATCCCTCTATGTTTCTTTGGCCAAAGCACGAGTTATTTTAAAAAGTAATATGCTTCCTCATCACTTCTGGGTTATTTCAGGAGGTATTCACACCACCCCAAATTGCTTGGACAATTCTGCATATTGTGTTTGAGCCATGAAAGTGCTTCTAGACAGATCGCCCAGCACCACTCGAGCCACCAAAGAATGAAAATTGTGGTCATGAGAAAAATAATTTTGGCTGCCGTCTTTCATTTTTTCCCGGCAGTAGTTCCTAATCAGCTCGGATGGAGTCCATCAAACTTTGAACAGCCGTGGCTCAACAGTAGACGGTTTGGTTTTCTTTGTGTGTGTGTGTGTGTGTGTGGGGGGGAGGCGGCTGGAAAAGTAAATTATTAGAATGTAATGGTGAGGTGTTCCCATCTTGCCATTTAAGATGTCTGCACACGCAAATGGAAGCTGTTGAAATACACCCACTAATCTCATAATATGAAGATGTTTGAATCCCTCCAGCTTAAAAAAAAAAACTGAACTGTTGAGAAAGTTTTCACTTTTTGAAGTCTCCCAGAAGAGTTCAGACACCACACAATGATTTATTTCAACAAAACCATTAGAAGCAGACACTTACGAGTGAGAACTTGCAGACTTGAACGTAGAGCTGCGTAACCTCTGCCTCTGTTACAGTGACCCCACGTCCTAAACTGTGTTTGTAACTCCCCAGATAGGCGGTGAGCCAGTCCCTCTGCAGCTCCTGGCTCGGATACAGGCTGTAGTCCACATCGGTCACACCTGAAGCCCAACACACACAGTCGTATCCACAAGTTACTCCAACTATTAATCAGATTACATGTCTGCTAGTTTGAAGAACTGCGGATTTTAAATTCCAGAAAAATAAAGTTTTGACTTCAAAATGTTCTACTGTGATATGGAACAACTCATCAAAGTTTTAAATATTGGAACGCTACACTTTTCATGGTCTTCTCGGATAAGAAGCAAAATGTTTACAGAAAACAAACTAGAGAAAACTGCATTTTCTGGGAAAGTGCAGTGTGAATGCCTATTGCTGAAAACATGCTGAAAAACAGCTGAAAAACAGCTGAAATGGAAGATCAAGCCTACGAACAGGCCCAGGCCTCCCTTGCAAGAGAGATCTGTGATCGCAGTAGGATTTGCCTGGTTAAATAAAGGTTAATAAATAAATAAATAAGTTAGCAGAAGAAAGCAGAATGAACACATATTTGCTGAATTATGTTTAAACAAGCAGAAATGAGCACAAAAGTTAGGAAATTAGGCAAAAAAGCTAAAATTGCCAATAAATGGATTTAGCTGAAAAGGTAGAAAAAAACTTAAACTACCAGAAGGAAGTGGATGGACATGGAATGAGCTATAAAAAAAGTGGAATTAGTTGAAAAAGCCAAAATTTGCATAAAAACAGCTAAATAGTAGCTGAAATAGCGGAAACCAGCATAATTAAGGTGAAAGAGCACAACCAAGTAGCTAAAAAGGCAAAAAGAAGTTTAAATTACCATTCACACTTTTGTTTAATTAGACTGGAAGTGCAAGAAAAGTGAAATTAGCTAAAAAATAAAAAAATTAAATTAGCATTAAAAACAGCTAAATAATAGTTGATATAGCAGAATAAGAGGGATTTTTGTATTGAACGTTTTTTGAATAAGATGACCCATTTATAAATTAGCTGAACGGAGTATAAGAAGCTGAAATTAGCCTAAAGAAATTAATTAAGCTGAAAGTAGCAGAAGTGTAGAGGAACATATATCTGTGATATATTATCCATAAATTAAACGGATTCATTCATTTTTCTGGACTGAATAATATCGTGCATTGAAATTAAATGTGACGTGAGACGTTAATTTTCTTTGACCCATCAAATGAATGCGGTCATTTATTAACAGAATCAAAGTTTAACATCACACATTTACATTAATTTGGCAAATTGATTTCAACAACAGCTTAATTAATTAGCTTTACAGTCAGGAAAACCATACGGCCATGATTTTCCTGCTTCACAACAGACATTTCTGAAAATATCTGAATGATTACTGGCAAGATAGAAGAGTTTAAAGATGGGGGATGAAGGAGTTAAAATTGAGAGAGAAGATGGATGAGGGGTTGTTATGTGTCGGTATCAGAACGGCACGCTCCGTTAAGATCCCAGCTTCCTTCTCGGTACACTTAGGTAGTGTAAATCAACTCTTTACCTGTAGAAGGTGTCTCCACTGGTACGGAGTTCCATTTAACGCACCCTTTCAGCGTCTCCGTAGGAACAGCTGTGAATCGTCCGAAGTAGTGCCGGTATTCCGTCCGACACAGGTTCAACCCACTGGTGGACTCACAAGAGGAGTAAGTCCGTCAGAGGCTCCACTCAGATGTGGAAGATTTCATAATTCCCACAAGACTCGGAAGAACTGCGGATCATGTCTGAACCTCCTGTTCTCTCCAGCACTTCTTCTGTTCGGTTTTGCTCTCCGAACTGAACTGCTCTCCCACCGCACACGACTGGCTGGAACTAGGAAGTGCCGACATTTAAAGAGTTCTATTTTCGGTTCATTTGGGAAGTTCCTGATTGGTCGATCGACCAAACAGGGGTGTGTTTTAGTGATGTAAGAGGTTATTAAAAGTCAAGGGAAAAAGATTAGATTGTTTAAGAACAGACAGAAGATGTTATGAAGAACTCGAGACATCGTGGAGTCAGTTCTCTAATATCTTTCTGTAAAAGTTAAACATGACATTTCTTTTCCAGTAAACTTGCAGTTGACCGAAACTTGACCTTTGACCAACTTACACTTGCTCATTTCAGACAGAAGATCAAGAAAAATGAATAATTACTCTGTAACAGACCTTAACTTGATTTCTACTTTGAATGAGGATTAAAAATCATTAACTGTTTCACAGTTGATTTAAAATGAGTAGTTCACTTCAACATTTAAAATGGTTTGAACTAAACACACTTTGATTATCAAGACATTTGTAAGATAGTAATGATAATAAAAAAGAGAGTGTTCTTTCAATTGATCAGTGTAGGACACTTAGAAAGTCTCTGGATTAACTTAATTTTGTGTTTCTGGACTCAAATCAATGAAATGACGGTTCTTGTCCCAGGAAGGCCCTCAAGGTCAGGATTTGACCTCAGGCTTAGTTCACTACAGAAGTTACCATGAGAAACAAGAATTTTTTTTTTTTTGGAAGCAGCCAAAAATAGCTACAAAAAATGCTAAAAAGGTAGCTGAAACGGTAGATCAAGATGAAATTAGCAGAAGGAAGTAAAGCTAGAGTACAATTTTGCCCAATTAGGCTGAAAGAAGCAGAAATGAACACAAAAAATGATCTGGAAAAATCTGAAATCAGCAAAAACAGCTGAAAAGTAGCTAAAAAGGCAGAAAGAAGTTTAAATTATCAGAAGAAAGTGGAGAGAGCACATTTTGGCTGAATTAGGCTGAAAGAAATTTGTGCAAAAAATGTGAAATTAGCTGAAAAAGCTGAAACTTTTACAAATAAGCTGAACAGAGCATAACAAACTGAAATTAGGAGAAAGAAGTTAGAAGAAGTACAAAAATGTTACAGTTAGCAGAAAGAATCTGAAAGGAGCACAAAACTACTGAAAAAAAAAAAGCTGAAAGTAGCTGGAAAAAAGTTTGTTTGCACAAAGAAGCTGAAAGAAGCTGAACCAGAATAAAATATGAAAGGAGCAGTAAAAACAGATCTAAAGATCGTAAAATGAGCTCAATTCATTTTCTATGAGAAACGAAGAGGCAGAAAAGGCTAAATATTTCAGGATTGTCCTGAACAAGCTGAACATATTTATGTATGATTTATTGAAACTTGAAAACTGCAGGATGAGAAACGTGGAATGAAATGTACACAAAAAAAAAACTGTACGGAAGAAAATTGGATCACAATCGTGTGAATGCTTCATAAAATTCACACAACTAGCTTTTTAACAAAGATTTAAGATGAGCATGCATGTCTGAGAATCTACACCAGTATTTTGAAAACTGTTGCACTAGACTTTTGCTGCTTGTAAAAAAATAAAAAAAAAATCAGCTTTTTAAAGTTTGCTTTAATGAATACTGCAATTTGGATTTATGGTAAATATATCTAGAAACACAAAATTATGTCAACAATATATACATACAGTTTGTACAACCTGCTTTTCTCAAGCAGTCTTATAACTAGACAGTGCAAACATCTGGAAATAAATTGATCTGCTCTTCATCACAGCAAAGGCTTACCAGCAAATTCATTGAAGTGGTTGCCGATATCAAATGCCTGGTAGTTGTAATCTGCGTATTCGTAGTCAATAAATTTCACCGTTCCTGCACGAGACGTAAAGGGACAACAGCAGCCGTTACCAGGACAACACGACGAACACATCTGCGACGCATAACTGACAACTCTCACCCTGTTAACTGAAAGCAAATAACCTTGTGCTGGTCCAAACAACAAGGAGTCTCTTTAAAATAAGCCCCGTAGGGAATATTTGCAAACTGAGACTGAATGATGATAAATATAAATCTGCTTTGAATGTAAAATGATAACAACAAAGAAGTGTGGGCGTCTGTTAGCTTTGTTCTTCCTAACTGATAAAAGGAAGCATAATGATTTATAGTTGAAAATGGTGATCCTCACCCTCTTTGTGGTTGTAGATGATGTTTTTTGTGAGGAGGTCATTGTGGCAGAGAACAATCGGAGAGTCAATCAGCAAGAGGTGTTTCTTCAACGACTCCATTTCCTTTGATAAAGTCTCGTAGCTGGGCACCTCCTGTAGCGCTGCAGGCCTGGAACAAGTAAAACCTTTAACTTCTCATTTTCAGGTTTCCAATGTTTTGATAAGTGCTTTCTGAAAATGTGATGAGATTTGTAACTGTAAAAGACCAACTTGCAACCGAAATTCACCTCTCAGGATCAGGATCGTTGATAATTTGTAATTCAAAAAGAATTGGAAATGTTTCTTTATGACAAATTCTGTGGCTCCTTAACATCAAGTGCTACATCATGATTTTCTCAATGTTTTTTAAATGTACAATAACTCGGGTAAAAAAAATCCAAAGTTCAGTCAGGTCATCTGGATGGTTTCTTTTATTGAGACATTTCATCCTTCATCCAAAGGACTTCATCAGTCCGAGGAGCCAGAACAAACTCACAAGCGGCATGCTCGCATAATGGACCAACCAGTTTTCTGGTGAAAAGATGGTTTCTGGGCCCCATCCTCTCCCCTGTAGACTCCTCTGAGGCAGCGGACTGATGAAGTCCTTTGGATGAAGAACGAAATGTCTCAACAACAAAAAAAAGCAACCATCCAGATGACCTGACTGAACTTTGTTGGATTTTTACCTGGATTATTAAGCATGAACTTTTGTGTTTTGAACCACTTTGGCTAAGGCTGCCACAGAGAAGTTGATGGGGGAGAGGGTGGGCCCCACAAACCATCTTATCACCAGCAAACTGGTTGGTCCACTGTAGGAGTGTACTGCTTAGTGGTGGAAACTGTTTGCTTGGGACTCCTTGGAGTGATGAAGCCATTCAGATGGAGAGTGAAACGTTTCTCAAGGTACAATTGCTGGTGAAAAGATGGTTTCTGGGGCCCGCCCTCTCCCCTGTCGACTCCTCTGAGGCAGCCATATCCAAAGTGATTCAAAACATCAAAGTTAATGTGCAATAATCCAGGTAAATAATCCAACAAAGTTCAGTCAGTTCAACTGGAAGGGTTTTTTTTTTACATTTTGTCCTTCATCCAAAGGACTTCATCAGTCTGCTGCCTCAGAGGAGTCTACAGGGGAGAGGGTGGGCCCCAGAAACCACCTTTTCATCAGCAAACTGGTTGACCCACTATGTGAATGTGCTGCTAGTGGGACTGAGTTTGTTGTGGCTCCTTGGACTGATGAAGTCCTTTGGATGAAAGATGAAAAATCTCAACAACAACAAAAAAGGAACCGTCCAGATGAGCTGACTTAACATTGTTGGATATTGTTGGATACAATTAACAGTGTCATTCTCATACAAATACACTTGAAGAATTTAACAAAAAGTATTTTTTATTAAAGAAGGAAAAATATCTTGGGGAAGTTTAATATCTGTGCTGAAAACGCTACAGGGACTTCTAAAACTAAAAACAGGTCCTCAGCTTATATATTTAGGAACGATTGTTTTCTTTCTGTTAGATATGACGACAGCTCTAGGTTTCTTTTTGAGCGGCTAAAACCTGGAGCAAAGGAGCAAACTCCGAACTTTACCGTGAACTCTTTACAGGAAGGACGTGTTTGTAAACTGGCAAACGTCAGCGAGAGGTTACGCGTCTTGTTTTCACTCTGTTGATTACTCAATCTATCAAAGGCCCAAAACTAAAGTCCTTGGACGCTGGCTCGAAATGCACCTGGAAGAAACGCTGCGCAAGCATCCATCCTCTAATTAATTGTTGTGTTTCCTTTTTCAGCCACCGCTGCCGGCCCTGACAAGAGGCTTCTTTAAACAGTGTTCTTTAAACACTACCTATTTATTCGAAGGGGAACAAACACACGCTCCAGTATTATACACAGCACAGGACATGATTTAGAGGGGCCTGCGAGGAACGCACAATAAAAAACTAAAAGAAGAGGAGCCTTGTTTATGGTGACACCGAGGCTCTGCTTTTTTTTTTTTTATACAACGCCACCTACACGTTCTCAACAAGTTCATTATGATCTTCAAGACCTTCCAGTTTGTCTGAGCTGAGGAGACAGACCAAGGGCAGGTTGAGTGAATTAAAAAGTGAGATCTAAACCACAACTTGTGTAAAAACATAGTTGCATACCTGCCTGCTGCTTAAGTTTTGACCTCGTTACAATAACTTTAAAGGTCGTTAAGAGAAATTGTGCAAAAAACTGACATTTATGTTCCATGCCACACTTTTATGCTCAAAAACTAGTGTTTAATCATACTTGCGTGTAAAATCTTTGTTGTTGATAATCGACCCCCTCTGACTTTTACAATTCATCTATATCCTCTCCATCTGAACTGAAGCGCATCTGAAAAGTGAATCACCCTGATTCCTTTTCAACTCGCCCGCTCCCTCTAACCCAACAAACTGGGAGCCCACGAATACGCGGATTGAAAAGCGACAAATGAAAGACTCGCATTGACTTTTAAATGGAGACCTGTCGTCTTGCCATCAGATCTTTTCCTCCTTTTTTTAAATTTTTTCTGTTCTTTTCATGGAAGTGAGCGCGTTCGAGTGCGCTCGCCTCCTGCTCCCCCTGTCAAGTATCTGTAAAGTAATTAGTGGAATTTCCTCCTCTGATGCTTCATTATCAATGTGCCTTATTTACATATAATTTCAAACGCCAGCCGTGCTCTGCAGATTTTCATTAATTTGTAAATATATAAAAAAAAATTCAGTCTTAAGTGACATGTGGGGATGCAAATGGGAGCCACAGCAGGGGGTCTTTGGGAGAGGGGGAAAAGAGGAGCACTCATGCTTTCCATCGCTTTTCTTTCCTTTTCCCCCTGTCTCTGTCTCGTACCAGGCCCTATCTCTCTCTCCGAACCTCGCAGCTGCAGCTTCCTTCACTCCCCTCCACCTCCTCCTCCCCTCTCCTCCCCCTGTCTGTTTCTCCATCTCTCTCCCACAGCGGGTGGCCTGAGAGCTGAAGACCTCCTCTGCAGGTGCAGCCTCTTCCTGCACTCTCTCTGCCTTTCTTCTGCCGTTTCCTCTGAAGACCACATTCACAGCTCGGCACTCGGATACAGTCTCAAGCACAAAAGTTTCTCTGATGCATATTTTATTTATTTCATTTGACGTTTCGACCTCTGTCGCATCACACACACACGGTTGCACGTTCAAGATGCATACACAGACACACACACAGCAGTAGTTTTAAACTAAATTTATCCTCTAACCTATATGCAAATTCCTTAATTTTAAACTTCACATTTAGTTTTATTTGACTTTACGTTTGTTTAAATAAAAATCTTCTAGCACTCAGATTTATTTCCCATCTCTGACTCATTTTCAGGACATTTACAACGTCTCCGTGAACAAATGTCTCACAATATAGCACCATCTGTTGGGACTCTGACTGCGGTGCAGTTGACTCTTGCAGAAGAACATTGTATTAGTTTTAAACTATCTGGTAACCAGAGAAATTTGTGGACAAATAAAGCCCTGAAAGAAAAACTAACCGTGCAGGCAGAGCGGAAAGATCCGATTAAAGGACATGTTCTTTAATTTACCACCATGAGATGAAACTGAACAAATGCACAGTTAAATGTTATGCTCAGCAGGTCAGATTTAATGCTCCTGTTGATCCTTCATCACTAATTAGTTTTGTTTTCTCAGTTAATAATGGCTGCCCAAATATCAATAATAAACATTTACATTATAAAAATTAATGCCGATATCTATTTTACCATCTAATGCTAAGCTGGGTTTATCTGTCCACTTACGTTACGTTACTAACTGACCTTCTGTTGTTGTTTTTTATGGTTTGTAGAGTTTATGGACCTGAGCTCATATAACTGGAATTTGATGCAATTTGAATAACAGCAATTTTTTTGGTTCTTGTTTTGATTATTCATTCATTCGTTCAAACTTTACTTAAACAGGTTAATCCCATTGAGCCTCGGGGACTCATTTACAAGAGAAACCTGAGACCTTTATGAAGATTAGCTGCTGTTCGGCGTATTGTTTATTTTTAATACTACTAGTGCTTTGTGTATTTTTAGTTAATGTTTTTCTTAGTTCATATCTTAGATCTTATTAGCGGTATTGTTTTTCTTTTAAATTTTATATTTTTGTTGGATGTAACTGGGACCCTGTGTACAAAATGTCTTTCCACCACATGTGTCATGTGTGGTGGAATGATGAATTAAGGACCTTGAATCCTTGAAGATGCCAACAGGTGTGGTTCACATGGGGGGGGGGGGGCATTATGTCATATAAGGATTTGTGTTGGGGTCACCATGAACGTGTAAAAAGGAGATTAGGGGGTCCACTCAAAAACAATGTGCTCTGTTTGCTGAAATTAATTTTATACAGCTAATGTCTTCCAGATAAGTGTCAGCAGCACAGTGGATTAGTGGTTAGCACTGTTGCCTCACAGAATTCTACTCTTCTGTTCAAACTCTGGTTTGGACCGGGGGGTCTTTCTGTGTGGAGTTGCAGGTTTTCCCCGGGTACTCGGGTTTCCTCTCACAGTCCAGAGACAAATATGTCAGACTGCCTTCCTCCCTAACAAAACAGATAAGTGACCTGAATGGGATTTTCCTGGTTAAATTAATGTTAATAATAATTTCTATTGATCTGTAAATATTGACTTGGAACAGCACAGTCTAAAAAAAAATTATGAAACACCTCAACTGAATGAAAACATCAAAAATGCATTTTGTCTTTTCAGATGTCTTGCATGGACAAAATCGTCTCAAGTCAATCAGATAAAGGAACGTTTGTTATGAAACAAAACATTCATCCATTATCTTTAATCTTCCTTTCAGGGTTGCGGGGGACATTAGTGCCCAAACAACAAAAAATATAAAATGATTAATTTTCCTAAAACACACTAAAAAAGTATTTTTAGCTTTATTTTACTAAAATTGACCACATTTCTCATGAGTGCTGTAATTTTATTGTCATGACCTTTGAAGTGTTTGTTTTAATTATTCATAAGCTTAATTTTTAAATTCCAAGAGCTTCTTATCACAAAAGTGTCACTCCTTTTATTAATTGCTCTCCCCATCTGCTTCAAGTCAGAGACCCAGTCCTTTCCAGTTTCAGCTTGGGACTTGGACTTCTGACCCATGTCAGCTCACTGGGAAGCTATTGCAAAATAAACAAATCAATAAATAAAAATTTTAAAAAGCTAGAACAAATTTTCCTAAAAGGCAACAAATGTAAATATTAAAAGCCTTAGCAGGAAATGTAAAGGGGAAAAAAAATAATTTGATGAAGATTAATTTTTTTTTAAATCTGTAAATTGTGTCTGATGTTAAAAAGACGTCGGCATGAGTCAAACGCTCTTCTTCACTTATCATATGACCTTATCATATTATCGTATTACCTGATCATATTAT